CATTAAATATATAACAAGTATATGTAAACATTTGATACCATAAAATTTATCTGTTTAGATACTGCATCGAAATTAAAAATGCATTATTAGTTTTCAATGTAAACAATGTTATATTTCAAATGCATTGTTACATTGGAATGTAAACAATGAAATAACATAACAAAAAAGTTATAGTAATAATATACAGTTTGAAAATTTAGATAGCTAGCTGTTTTTAATGTTATTTATAAGTGAATAATTTTGTAATTAACTTTTGAACAAAAAAAACAACTTATAATGCAAGATATGTAGACAGATATGCAAAATTTATAATTTTTTTTTTTTGATTTACACATTTTTTTGCACTTTAATTGCTCAATTTTTTGCAATTTGATTTTAGATTGCTAATAAATAATTGCCGGAGCTATGGAATTGGGGAGCCCCTGTTTTTTGGTGGGGCCAGAGCTGCAAAATTAAGAGGCTTTTAACTCTCATATTTTTTTGAAGGAATAGAATTAGGGCTCAAGTTAATGCAAAAAAAAACTAATCCCCCCCCCCCCCCCAAAAAAAAAAAAATTTTTTTTTTTAACGTCCTGCTAGGGGCTGCATATAGGAGGGGAGTTGCATTAGTATAAAATAGTATCTTATGCAGATTTGTTTGAATTGAAAAATTAAAAAAAAATTATTTAGGGGTAGCTCAAGACCTTTAGACTTCTGATGTTTATAGGTCTTGAGCTACCCCTAAATAATTTTTTTTTTTAACTTTTCAATTCCAGTTTTATTTTAATATACAAAACACATTTAGAGGGTGAGAGCAGACATTAACAAAAAAAGTTGTTTAAATGGCCACCCTAATATCTATAGACCAAACGAGTAAGATCAAAGCAAAAAACCATATTTTTTATAATTTATTGTTTCTTGATCTAGCATACAATTAAAAATTTAAGTATAATTAATTATTTGGTTTAAAAGGTTTTTAAATTGATTTTTTCATTCAATTTTTTTCGTTCAAGTTGTTATGTGATAAAAATTATTTGACTAAAATTCTCAAAGTTTAAATAAATTTCTTTTTTTTAAAACATTCCTAAAAAACAACTTGCATATTTATAGAAAATCTTTAATCTTGACATCGCTTTAAATAGAATGACCCCTAATAAAAATTTAGACAAATACATTTCTTTTAAGAATAATAAAAAAAAAAGTTGATAAATTAGAAAAAATAAAAAAATAATTAAAAAAAAATCTTGAAAACATTTTTGCTAAGAAAAAAAAAGGTGTGAAAAGTGTAGTGCAATCACATTAAGCTTAATTCGAGCTCTGAGATTTTTTTGATTTTTTTACAATAAACAAATATTATTCATTCATTGTTTTACTAATTTTTTGAATGAATTATTTATTCAATTTCCATTTTTATTCACTATATTAGTAGTTACAGTCTCCTTAAAACATAATTAAAAAGTATATATTAACTATTTTGTATTCAGCAAAATACTAATATTTGATACATTTCTTAATATGCTTTATTAAAAAAAAAAAAGAGTAAGTTATATATGAAAACATTCTTAAAGTATTGCATATACTGTTTTAAATTTTTTATATTGATATTATGCTGTTAAATATTAGATGTGCAATCTAATAATCATCACCCTCTCTCAACACTATAACTCTAAAGCACCAACTTTGACGAACAAGTCTGCTGCGCGAAATAACAAGTTGAATGCAGGGACATGATAGTACTGGAATCTTTAAGAGATGAGGTTAACTTATAGTTCTTGCTCCTAGCTATAACTTTTAATTTTTTAGTTCTATTTTTATCTATTTTTAGTTCTACTTTTTGTTCTATTGAACATTATTAATGATTTAATGAAATTTTCCGATTTATACAGCAGCATGGTATAGTAATCAGACAGGAGTAAAAATGTAAATTGTCTTTAAATGAAGAGTCATGTTTTTCTCTGGTTTATTAAGAATTATTTTCATAATTTTAAAATTCCAGTTAACACAGAGACCTCTATAATAGGTCAATATTTAGTCAAAATTGATCAAAAATGGATTAAATGTTTAGCAACCAATTATTGACCAAAATTTGATGGTTGATTTGGATCAGCAATTCAATCTTCAATATGTTGGTTAAACATTGATTAAATGTTTAGAATATTGACCAACATAAGTCAGTATTCTAGACGTTTAATAAATGTTTAATAAATGTACATTAGGGTGTTTCATATTTTGTTAATTATTCCACCTGCACCTCGATTTATAAATTGACCATTCATATGAAAATGAGTTTGAGCAAAAAGAAAAATATTAAAAAAGTTCTTACGGTCACTGCCGGCTCTATTTTGAGCCAAAAATCATAAGTGTTTCAAACGCTTTGGGGCTATAAAATTTATTCCATAAAACTTTTAATACTTTCAAATGTTATATATTGGATTGAATATTTATCAAATAAAAGAAGCAAATTAAAAAAATTAATAACTGTCTGAAAACAACTTATTAGCAAATCAAAAACATTTTTTATATGCCACCTAATAATAAAATAGGTTTTTGTGAAGAAAAATTTTGCTTTTTCACTAATTTCAGAAAAAAAAAACATTATTTTATTAATTTCATTAATTAATGACCCTAATAACATGATAGTTAAAGCGTGCATTACAATTATATTATTTTATATGTTTAATTAATGTTGATTAAACATTTATTAAATATTTATTAAATTTTTATTAAATTTATTAAATATTTATTTTTAATATGTTATATAATGACCTTATAAAATATTTATTAAATTTATTAAACATTTATTAAATATTGACTTAATGTTTACAAAATATATTTTGTAAACATTTAACAAACTTTTAATAAATGTATATATTAAAAGTATTGTAGCGTGCATTTAAAATACTTTAGTTATATGTTTATTAAATGTCAGTTAAATGTTTTCAATATTTGTTTATAATAGTTAATTGTTTGAAACATATTCCAAACTTTACATGAAGTTTATAAATGAAAAATTTGATTTATTATTTCTATTCCAACCCTTGTTATTAGGATCGACATTTGGCAATGCCAACCTAACTGCCAACCTTAAAGTGTTTGAGGTATGCAAAAAATTGCCGACCTCGTTTCTATGTTTTATGGTAAGACCTTTGTATCAAATCTTTTTTGCCGACCGTTAAAACGTTGAGGTAGATTGCCGACCTCATTTTTCCTAATTCGTTAGGTAAGACTATTAAATGAAACAGCCAATTATTTGCAATAAAAAAGTAATAGGAGTGTTACAAAATGCATGCTTGGATATTAAACATATATTATACTAAGTTTATACCCTTTATATACGTTTAAAAAATCTAAATGCTTTTTCTATGTTAATAGACATCAAAAATATGTTTGAATCTCAATGTTTAATGGAGGTTTGTTCTAAATGTTGATTTAGATTTTATTCTGAATGAAAAATTGACCAAAACTAAATGTTATGTCTAAACATTGTTTTGTCGTTTAATAGATGTTCATGTGTTTATTGAAACAAATTTACTAAATCTAAGCAATCTAATCTGTTAATTTATGTTAATAAATGTTAATTTTATTCAAATAGTTACTTTATTTATATTTAAATAGGAAAATGAAAATATATTTGGACAGAAAAAAATAATAAAAGGTTTTTTAATTTTTAAAAAAGGGTAAATAAAAATTGAAATATGTTAAAAATGCCAAAGTTGTCAAAAAAGCAAGCGGTTGAACAAGGCAGAACTTTGCTGAACTGTTTGCAATTTAATCAAGAGTTGCAGATATAAATATAAGATATTAGGAAAGAAATGACAATCAAATGTCTTCAAATTAGGTAGGCTATAAATTTCATTTATCAGATAAAATTTTAATTTCTGTTTAAAAAAATAACATTCAATTGTTTGAAGCGTTTATATTAAACTTTAAACCAAACTTTACATAAATTTTGTAGGTAAAAAATTTAATTTTTTATTACTATTCTGAATACTTTGAACTTTAAAAATATTTGAATTTTTCTAATTTTAAAAAGCTTATTTTTTAATATTTATTATTGCATTGCAAGTAACCTTGTGGTACTTAATAGAATAGACTGTTAATTGTACATTTCGAAGTTTAACGCGTTGAATTGTCAAGTAAAACTATTAAATGAAACAGCCGATTATTTACAATAAAAAAGTAATAGGAGTGTTACAAAACGTATGCTTGGATATTAAACATATATTATACTAAATTTAGAAGCTTTATATACGTTTAAAAAAAAAAAAAAAATGCTTTTTCTATGTTTAATAGACATCAAAAATGTTGCCTTAAAAAATGATCCATGGAAAAATGCTTTCTTGTTAAATTCTAGAATAAAAGATTTTTATAATTTGAAATGAAGTGTTTACCAACCAAGTGCTGTTTAAGGTCTGCAAATCTATTTTGAAGAGGTCTGGTAAAGAAACCTTTTATATCTATAAAGATTAGAAAATCCTGAAGTTTGCTAATAAATGATTAAATAGTACAATTAAACTTTTTAGTAATGAATAAGAGTTTACGTTATTTGATTCTGAAAGTATTAGATATCTTGTCATCCAAAAAGCCATAGAAATGAATCTAAATATCAGATTCCAATAGTAAAGCATGTAGTCATAAATGTTAGGTAAATGGTTAGGAGTTGCTTTAGTAGAGATTGTGTTAGTTGACCTAACAACTGTTAGTCCAATCAACAAAACATGCACAAAGATATCATTAAGGATATTATATTGCTTCATGCTTAAGACACAATGCCTCAATATTGAATATTTAAGTAGGACAATGACCCAAAGTACACTTCAACCATCATAAAAGGTTTTTATAAAATAAATAAAACAATTTTTGTGTGAAAAATCAACCCCAATTTTTTAAGTTATATATACAATTAAAAAATTAATTTTTTAGTTGTATATTAATTATAATAATAATAGCATTAATAAATTTGTTGATCAGTTTTTTATTTTTTTATTTTGAAAAACATTTATATATTTTCTTTTTTTAAGATTGTTTATAATGAACATTAAAGAGTACTTTGCTTTCCCAATTTCCATTGGATGTAATCCTATGGTGAAAAATTACGAAGGTGTCAAATATATGTTGTTAAACATATTTTCTGATAATAAAAATCTTAAAGCTGATTGGAGAGGATTGAAGTTAGGTAGTCTTCATGAAGATTGGTTAAGAAATTTAACAAGCTTCAAAGATATTGTTCTTTCTTATAATGAAATTAAAACTATACCATCAACTGATATTTTGAATTACTTTGGAGCAGTAGAAAAGTTAAATCTTAGTTCAAATAAATTACAAGAGGTTCCTGAAGAATTGTTTAGGCTTCCAAAACTTCGTAGTATAAATCTTTCACAAAATAAATTAAGACATCTCCCTAATGTTAAAGAATGGGCTCCATCTCTTACAACAATAACTCTTAATAGTAATTTATTAGAAAGTTTTCCATCCAATGTTGAAGGACTCTTAGTAAAATATTTATATTTAGCATATAACAGATTGAATTGTGTTCCTGAAAGTATATGTAACCTGAAATGTTTAGAAACTCTTGATATTAGTCAAAATGTTGACATTCATTCATTACCAGTAAGCATGGGAAAGTTATCAAAACTTACTCAACTAGATTTGGATGGCTTAACGGTAAATTTTAAAATAAAATGTTTCTGCTTTTTATATCTGATATTTTATATCAAGTTATGCATATATATATATATATATATATATATATATATATATATATATATATATATATATATATATATATATATATATATATATATATATATATATACTTGTGTGTGTTTGTGTATAAATTATAAATTTTGTTTTATTTGGATTTTTTATGTAGATTTTTATTATTATTATGTAGTATTATATACAATGATGTTAAGACCTATTTTTGGTTTTTTGGTTGGTTGTCAGGGCAACTGAAAGCAGCTATTTAGCTATTGTTAATTTCCTGCTAAAACCTTTTGATCTTCTTCATTTTTTAATGGTCTTATTTCATATATTTTTTAAAAACTTCTATAAAAGTAGTTTTGGTTATTTATTAGTATTGGTTATATATATTAATAGCAATTTTTAGTGTGCTTCATGTATTAAATATTAAAAAAAGTTAGTTGTACATTTAAAAATTATACTATTAAATTTTTTTTTAATTTTATTTTGATTTGGTATTACTTATAAATATTATATTTTAAATTAAATTATCAAAATATGAATATCCTTTATGTGACCAAGGTGCAACAGACATACTTATCTTAAAAATTATATTTAAGTTATTGTAAAATTGTTTTTACTTACTATTAAAGAAATGTTATTGATTCTTTATAATATATATTATACATTTTATTTCTTTATATATTTTGATAATTTGATTTAAAATATAATATTTATTAATGAGCTGTACCAAATCAAAATAAAATTAAAAAAAAATTTAAATTTGATCTAATAATTTTTTCAGGTGTTGCACATACTACATTAAAGCAATCCTTGCAAACATGCAACTTTATATTAGTCCTTGCAAGACTTTACATTATTGTTTTCAATCTAGTCTCAATCTGTTTAAAATAGTTACATCAAAATTTTAGTTAACTTGAAATGCCTAAACAATCATCAAAAAATAATGAAGATATCTTTTGACCATAAAAAAGAAATTAACCGTAAACAGTTAAAAAGTTGCAAAATAGCTTTAGATAAAACAGTAACATATTACATACATTTAAGCAATGATTAAAATATTCTATTGTGATTGTTTGACCAGCTATTTTATGTATTGATGAATTTTATCCTAAAAAAGAAAAGGATTTTATCCTAAAAAAGGATGTTTCAGTTATCCAGTTGGTTTAAGTATATTGCATTTGCCATATTCTTGCACTTTTATTGTTTTTAAAACACTATAAAAAAAATGTTTTTGGCTCAATCTTGCACAGAGCAGATACAAAAGTAGCTGTTGGTCAATTACACTCATCACACATTACATTTATCATATTAAATAAATGATTTATGATTTTCAACTTTATTTTATGTTTTACATAAACTCCAACTCTTCTTAGAAAACTTGGTATCATTTCTGCACTTTACATCTTCGCTTCCAAGCGAAGGCTGAAAGCAACTCTTAGAGTTGGAAGTTACTAAAAGAGAATAAATGAAATTTATATAGCAAGATAACATTTTATAGATGACTTGAAAGATTGCAAATTACATGAATCAGGAAACCAAGATGAAGGTACAGAATTTCAAAGAACTGATGTTCAAGGAAAAAAACTAGTAAAATAAGAGTTTTTGGAGCACTTAGGAACAGTCACAGAAAACAGATGAGACTTATTTGAATGATAAGTAAGAAATGAGAATGGATTTTAGCTCTAGAGACGCTAGCTCTTTAGAACAGTGCTCATTATAGTATTTGTAGAAAAGAGAAAGAGAAGCAAAATTATGACGATGTCATAATGATTAAAGGTTGTCTGCAAGAGCAGGTCCAACTATGTTTACAATGCATTTTTACACCTTACACCTTTTACACCTTTTTAACTACTTTTTAACTATGTTTACGATGCACCATGTCTAAAAGAGTAAGAGCATCATTAGAAGATACGCCCCCCCCCAGTTCCCGCCCCAGATATGGCAACAGTATTCCATACAAGGATGGATTTGAGATTTATAGAGATAAAAAATAGAATCTAGAGTAAGAAAGTGTTGAGCTCGATAAAGAGATGCAACTTTAGCAGATGCTAATTTTGCAATGGATTTGATATACAGTTTCCAAGAATGATCGGAAGTAAGAGTTAATCCTAGAAGATGAAGGGTAGATGACTCATCAAGAACATTACCGTTCATAAATATAGGAAGATCTAAATTAATGTGATAACAAATGGCTGAGTTTTATCTGAATTAAAGTTCAACTTTGAGCCCCATGCTGTAGCAGAAGTGAGATCCTTTTCAAGCTCAAATGCCCCCTCCAAGCAATCAGAGAGTGTTGGCTTCTTATCATGACAAGAATAAATGATAGTATCAACAGCAAACAATGCCACCTTATATGTGAGAATATTTCGAAGATCGTTAATGTAAATTAAAAAGAGTATTGGGCCAAGGATTGAACCTTGAGGACCCCCTAAGGTTACAGAATATGAAGAAGAGTGAACTTTTAACTTTTATTATTTAATGATTTTAAAGATGTTTCCAGATACACCGTAAGTAGAAAGCGTATTGAGATGACCAGCATGCCAAACTTTAGCTTAAGAAATGTTAAGAGATATAGTCTTAACCTCTCCACCTTTATCTAATGCACAATAAAACTTATCAGGTGTTACTCTTAGCAAATCAGCCATAGAATGAGAAGATTGAAATCCATATTGATGATCAGAAAGTAAGTTATTAGATTCAAGATTAAGTGATTGTTAAGTAAAGATTCAAAAACCTTGCTTATGATGGGAAGAAGACTAATGGAATGGTAGTTAAAGGAATCAGATCGCTCTCCATATTTTTTTACAACAGGGACAACAGATGCTGCTTTCCAGCAGGCTGGTAAACAAATTTCTGATAAGCACTTGTTAAAAAGGTTTGAAAGGATAGACGGCAGCTCCGGAGAACACTTCTGCAAGACTTTAACAGGTATGTTGTTTGGACCACAAGCTCTTGAATAGTATAAGCAGGAAATCACTTTAGATACAGAAGCTGGAGAGATACAAAAGTCAAGCAATGGATCAATCTGTTTAACAAGAGATGATATTGATGAAAAGTTCTACGCAAACAGTTCAGCTTTGTCTTCAGGTGAGGTGACAAAGTCTGAACCATACAAGAGAGGTTGAATAATAGATTTGCCCTTATTATTGATACTGTTAATGATTCTCCAGTAATCACGAGAGTCTAATTTTTGTGATGAAATATGAGATTTCATAACGTAAGAATAGCTGGCTTAGGCGTTAGACGAAACCTTTTTATTAGGGTTTCTAGCTTTAGTAAACAGGTCTGTTTTCTGAAGAATTGTTTTGCTGATAGATATGGAAGTAATGGTTTTGATTGGAAATTGCAGCAGTACAATGTGAGGAAAACCATGGAGAAGAGTGAGGCTTGACCTGGAACCGATGAAAGGGAAAAAAGATTCTATGCCAGTCTGAATCCACAAAGTTGTGTAAGAAGTACATTTGTCAGCAAGGAGACAAAAGATTTCTACCCAAGGCCCATCTAGAAGACAATCACTTAAAGAGTCCCAGTCAGCTTAAGGTAGTTGTAAGAGGTACAATGATAGGGGGATTATGATGATGAAGAAGAATGAGATAATAGTTTTAGAGAGATCAAACTGTGATTATAAGCACCTAAGGGGAAATGTTAAGAAACTGAGTACTGACTAGAATCAGAAACAAGACATCGAGAAAGTCGAGTATGTAAATGATTGGGATTATTTGGAAAGCGATTTTGAAAGTTGACTATTTGAGTTAGAGATTGAGAAAGGCAAAAGTTGTGAGCTTTAACCCCTGTAAAATCAGGATTTTCTGTAATACAGTAGCATGATAAACAATATTACTTACAAAACATTGATTGTTTAATGGAAAAGAGGTTTTGTGTTCGGTTTTGTGTATCATTTTTGTGATGTTTTGTTCTTATATTCTGACTTGTATCAGTGTGTAAAATCTTATGTGAATCTGTGGTTAGGTTAACTATTTACAGTTTTTATATTTTGCATACAGTTATATAGTCCTCGGAGTTAGGGTTGGCATTTAGCAATCCCGACTTAGTGTTTAAGGTTAGCAAAAAATTGCCTACCTTATTATTACGTTTTATGGTAGAGCCTTTGAATAAATTTTTTTTTGCAGACCTGATGCCAACCTCTTAAAGAATAAGTTTGGCATATTATTACCAACCTCATTTTTCCTAATTCTGTGGGCTGAGCTATACATACTATGATTGAATTTCTGTTAAAAATTTTATTAAGTTTATGGTTTACGGGAAAGGTCATTTAATGCTAGTAAGGAACTTCCTATTTTTGTTTTCACATTCTTACTGAATCGATGGTTATACCATATTATTTTTGGTTTGCAATTTTTGCTTTTACTTAAGGAAATCTAAGGGTGGTGCTTAAGTGTATAATTAATAGTCAGGTTTTTTTTAATGCTTCTTTGTAAGATAGCTTTATGGAGATTTTTTAAATATTTTTTTGTAAAGTGGAATAGTTTTATTGAAAACAAAATCATTTAATGATGTAAATTAAACAAATTTAATTAATGATGTAACTGAAAAAAAGTTTTAATATCACAAAACAAAATTTCAATAATTAAAAGTTGTCAAATATTACAAGTACAAGTTGGATGAATATTAGTGTAAAAGAGTATCAAATGGCGAATTACTGGATTTGTCAAATCAAGAAAACATAGCAAAGTTGAAATACTCTAACTTGCAGGTGCTTTAAAATTTTGAGTGCAAAAAACAGTGAATCCCTGGGAGCCTATAGGTGATATTGAAAGTTGGATACCTACAAAAATACACTAGAATTATTTTTGATTCCATTAATAAGGCAACTAAATCAAATATCAAGCAAATAGTATAACAAAACACCAGTAAGATCAATTTGTTGCTTAGCTGCCATTCTTAACCCTATCAAAAGTATTGAAACTCAATCAGTAAACCATGAAATTTAATTACGTTTACCATGAAATTTAAACAACTAAAATTGTAATCATCTTGGTAGCAAATTTTTGTTCAAATGTTTTGTAGCAGATTTTCTATTTATGTGCTTATACTGTATATGCAGAGTATTCATGGAGCAGCATGCTTGCGAATATTCTTCAATTTAACTACTTTGCTTTAATTGAAATATTAGTCTTGAGCCAGAAAAATTGTAGCCAATGTGTTACAGGATCTTGAAATCTTGAAAAATTGCTTTTTTGATTACCTTTTCATAGAAAATTTGAAGTAGGGCAAACTCATTGTTGGAAACTGACTTGGCCCATGTATTGTTTTACCATCATATGATAAGTCTTAAGCAGCAATTTTCTCAAGTAACATCTTTATACTTTTTAACTATGATAAATACGAACTTATAAAATTTAAAGTACTCAAGACCAAATAGTTTAAATATAAAAAATCTTAGATGAAACAAATTCACCCCATGCCACCCCACCTCTAATGACCAATCATGCCAGAGCTATTATTAAATTTATTAAAAGTTATTTTCTGAGTAATAGTTTGCTCAGAAAAAGTTCGAAATAAATTATTGCAAGTAAAACAGTTTTCAATAATTAAATATCAATATGTACTCAAAAAAATTTTTTTTTGTAAACAATGGATAGGGGTAAATCTAAATTTGCTTTCTGTCTAAATTTGTCTAAATTTGTCTAAATTTGATCTAAATGTCTAAATTTGATTGCATTTTTTTGGCAAGTTTTGGTTAATTTAGGGTTCTGAAATAGGGTTTGGGGGATCACTCCCCATTTTTAGTTTGCAAAAAAATTTTAATTATTAGTTTATTTTATCAAACCTCATATCAGTAAATAAGAGAATATGCAATTTAAAACCCACCCTATTGTACCCACACTATTGTTTATGATAATTTTGATCTCTGTTGTAATTTAATAATGTTCTTTTTTTTCTAGATTACAGATCCTCCCTCTGAAAACAAAACATCAAGAGAAATTTTGAATCTTTTGATAGAAAAATTAAGAAACTCAAAACCTTATTATAAGATGAAGCTAATGATTATTGGCTTTCCGCAGCAAGGAAAGACAACTCTACTCAAAAGGCTTAAAGGCGACAATAACTTTAATCTGGATAAATCAACCCAAGGTATGCGATTGAATGCATTTGTATTTTTTTTATCATAGTTGTAAAGGGCATAGAAACAGCAGTGTTTTTAGTGCTAGCAAATATTTGCACTAGTGGTTTAATAGTACAATGATGTTTAAATAGATGCAGAAGCATCCATTATCACCAGTAGGAAGTAGAAGGAAGAAGTTTTTTAGAGATATTAATTTTATATTTGTATGTACTCTTTTTTATAACGTTTTCTAAATGTTCAAATACACTTACCAAATGTTTATATTTATACTGGTTGAAATTAAACAAAGATTCATTATTGGCGGAAGTTAAATAGGAAATTAATTGAATTAATTGAATTGATTGAAAGTTTATATGACAAAGCTAAACTTTCTAACTAATTTAAATTAATGGAAGATTATTGTAAATATTGGCTACTATTTATAAATTTGACTCAGATTTAATAGTATTAATAATAATTAAAAATTAATTTTAAAAAATAATCTAAAAAATAAACTCTTTAAATAGTAGTTATGAAGCAAGATTATAAATAATTTTATTGCAAATTAAGTGCTTGGTTACTAAATTTTTATATTTACATTTACAATAATCAAAAATAAATTTATTACATTTTTAAAAAATTATAATAAAGTCTAAAATACATCGTCAAAATTTGCGCAGTAATTAAGTCAAACCAAGCTATATCTTCGTCATATTTTATTAAATTAAAAAAAACAGTTACATGTATATTGCCATACGACACTCCGGATATTGTGCATACTGGCATTACTTACACAAATAAAGTGAATTCTACCATTAAACCTATTGTAAGTTTTAGAGACCGGATATCAAATGCAGAAGCTTTGAAACACGCATTTATTTGTGAACAGAATCTTCCAATATCTTTAACATCCCATATGATTGAGTACGCAAAGGAAATTTCTAAAGATCATCGTGTTTTAAATAATTTTAAAATGTTCATAACATCAGCTTCGTATAAGCTGCGAGAAGGGTTAGGCGAAGCTTTTCACGCTGATCTTGTTTATGATATGAAAAATGTTTTCTTTTAACATAGACGAGTGCTTCTCAGCAAAAAATGAGAAAGTTCTTAGTATACTCGTAGCATATTTTTGTGACAAAGTTAGTAAAATTGTAATAAAACACTATGCATCATTGTCGCTTGTTATGGTAAACCCTGAATATGTTTTTAATGCTGTTATTCATTTATTTAACAAAGACGCAATTCCATTAAGTAATCTAGTTTCCAATTTATCAGATTCTACCAATTATATGAGGAGAAAAATAAGTAAGTTTCAAACAAGATTAAGAAAAGCGGTTCCTCTATTACTTGATAATGATGGTGATATTTGTCATCATGTGCTTAATGTTGTCAAAAAGTTTACTTCTTTTTTTCGGCAAAGTAGTTGAAAAGTTGCTTGATGATATCTAAGTTGATTTTAAGTTTAGCCCAGATCTTCGTACATTTCTAAAAAAACTTTGTCTCATCGCTGGTTGTCTGTTTTAGATTGCGTTCTACCTATGCTTGAGATGATGCCTGCTTTCACCTTAATTTATTCTACTTGGTTATCAAAACAGGACATCTCTCTGTATAAAGATGTAAAAATATTAAACAGGCTATCAAATGAAAGTAAAAAACTAATAGAAAAAATAAAATGCAAAATGCAGCAGAAAAAGCTAACAAAACAAGGTGCAGAAAGAAAGGTTAGGATTGTTAAAAGTTTATTTTTCCAACGTAATGAAACCTTACTTTATATTAATTTATATGTTGAAATTCTTCCTATTTTTAAATCATTTATTTTAACTTTTGAACAAAAAGAACTGTTAGTTCATCGAATTTATGAAGAGCAAATTGAACTGGTGAAACAATTTTAACTTGTTTTGTTAATCCAAAAATGATAAAAAATATAACAGGAATAAAGTTAAAATTTTTATAGCTAAAAGATAAAAAAATGTATCACCATTCGAATTATATATACCTTGGAAGTAATGCTGAAAAATATTTATCAAGAATAGTTATTCGAAATCCTGACTTTAAATCATCGTTTTTTAAGACCTTGCTAAAAGCCTACCGTGAATCATTAGTTTACTTCCTTAATAAATTTCCTTTTAACAACCCTTTATTAAAATGCCTCTCCGCAATCGACCCAATGTCTCAAGGTCATAAAATTACAGAGAGAAAGTTAAAAAAAGTACCATAAAAGAAAATCTGATAAATATTTTGCAGCAGAAAGTTATAAGTATAAAAATACTAACTTCTGAACCATTTATATTTCTGACATTTTATATTTAAAAAGTAAATAAATTATTACGCTTTGCAGATTTTACGGTAAAATTGAGATATTGTATTTGTTTTTAGAGAATTTTAGAAAAACATAATTATTTAGTAGTTTTTAGTTTATTTATCCCTTTATCAACGTTCCAGAGTATAACCACATACCTTCGTCAATTAGTTGACCGTATAATTTTCCGGAATTTTTATTAAAATAATTGTCCAGGATTTTCCAGGATTTTCAAAAAAAAATTTTCCGGGATTTTCATAAAGTGAAATTTCTCATCTATGCACATTAGCACATAACAAAAAAAAAAATATTTATAAATTTTATTTTCCTTAACTTGAGAAATTTCTTTTCTCAAGGAAAATAAAACTTACAGATTCCGACAAGCACAAGAATAAGCAGAACACTTTCTCAATAGAAACAACATCAGTAAATATTATATAAAAACTCAGCAAGAAAAAAAGCACTAATCTAAAAAAATTAAAAACAATAAATTTGTTCTATTTAGAGCCCGCAAATGCTATTTCTTTAAAAGTTTTGACATTTTCAGCTGAAAAGTTAAATAACTTATTAAGTCTTACTGCAAACTCAACTTCAAGTAGTACATGTGCTTTGTCAACAAAAATATTTTATTTAGTGAAGGCCTAATTGAAGTCCCAATTAATATTTTCTTGGACTTTATGGATCATATAAGAACTCAAAGTGTTCAAGTTTGATTATATAAAGAGTTTTTGGTAGTTCATACTTTCTTGGTTACTTGAAATTATTTTCCAGTAATTGAAATCTAACAAAAGCAAATTTCAAAATTCAAAGCAATTTAAACTATTATCATTTTAATACATTTATTATTACATATTCAAGTTTATTTATTTTATTTAAATATGTTGTTTAGGTATTGATATTGAAGAGGTCATCATATCTTTTCAGAAAAAAGAACCTTTTGTGTTTCGAGTATGGGATTTCGCAGGACAAGAAGAATACTTTGCAACCCACCAGTGTTTTCTATCTTCTTCATGTTTATATTTATTAGTGTGGGATGTAACTAAAAAAGATGAATGCATCCAACTTCTTCAACCATGGTTTGAGAATTTAGTAGCTCAAGTAAAAGTTTTTTATATTATTGTTGTTGGTACAAAGTTAGACCTTCTTAATAGTAACCACCTAGATAAAGCTTGCAATCTTATGAAAACTGAGATTAAAGCACTCATAGAAACTATTCCTGCTGTTAAAACTCTAATGAATAGAGATAAAGATTTTTCTAGTAGACTAAATATTTGTTTTGTTTCATCAGATATAAAATTTCATAATTATAATAGAGGTAGGTTGTTTTTTTTTTATGGTGCTGAAAATACATTTTAGTTCAGTGTTAGATAATTCTTTTTGTATTTTTAGTTCTTTTAGTATTAATTATTATTAATATATTGATTATAATTTATTTAGTTATCATGAATAAATTGGAAATTTATAAATAATTTTAACTTTTTTGAACTCAGCTTACCATTACAGATATGTTGTTTTGATTTTAATTATTGATTTGTTTTCAGTCATTTTAATGTATTTGTACAGATAAACTGTTTCCCTTAATCATTCTCAAATACAAACAACCTGAATCATCTTTATCATTTTTAAAATTATTTTTTTCATGTTATCTGTTGCATGCTCTTTACAAATTTTCTATCTTCTGCATTAAATTTTTTTTCTCAATCTTCCATCTCTACAAACTTACATCTAATTATCTGCTTGAGCCTTTACTTATACACTATATAAGGTACATATTCCTAATATCTGCTTTTATCAGATGCATTTGCTACTATGTTTTTTTGTTTATTTTTTATTTATTTAACTTTTTCTGTTCAAAGTAAATATAATTATTTAAAAATTCATGCAAATGCAGTATTGACTTATAATTCTCTTCATATTTTGATACATATTAATATTTAACATATTTATAATAAATTATTATATTTACTATAAATTTGATACATAATAATATTGGCATAGTTTAACATAATTTTGATAACTATTAATGTTTAATATGATTATGATTGATTTGAATAGTTAACATAATTGCTATAAAACAAAACGGTATTCATGGTATTTACTTGTTTTTTTTTATTTTTAATCAAAAAGTTTTTTTCAATTCAGAATTTCTTTTATTTTTTATATTAAAAAATTTTTATTTTTTGATATGATAGGTATTCAAACACTGAAAAAGGAGATCTATATTTTGGCGGAAACTATGACATCTAATGGAAAGCAAAATGGAGATAAAATAATGGGTAAATTGGTTCCGCAAAGTTATTTAAAATTGGAAGAAGAGATTATTGAAATTAAGAAAAAAGAAAAGCATAAGATTCCAATAATCAGTCGAGAAGAACTCATTTTGATTGGGAAACATTTAAAATCTGATTTTGATAAGTTTCAAGAAGAAGATCTTGAACCAGCAACTAAGTTTCTAATGAACGCAGGTTTCAAAGTTGTTTTTTATCTAATTTATATATATATATATATATATATATATATATATATATATATATATATATATATATATATATATATATATATATATATATATATATATATATATATATATATATATATATAGGGTGTAAACTAGCCCTGTGGCGCCCCGTCAAACGCGGTATTCTTAAATGCTCTTAAAATAAAAATTTCCAATTTAAAGGTGAAAAAATCCCATACTCAAAATAACTTTTGCCAAGTTAAAGTTTAATAATAGTTCTGAAAATTATTGAAAATTAAATATTATTAAAAACTAATAGAAAAAAAAAATAAAAAAATTCTAATTTAATAATTGCGTAAAACTTGAAATAAAATTACCATTGTTGGTATATTTACGCGATTAGGCTCCGAAAATGTCTCTTCGACAAAACTCCTTGAGAATTGGGATTTTTCAAGAAGTTTTAGGGATTTTCCCTACAACTTGCTGTAAAATTAATTTCTCATATTTTGCAAATAAATTTTTGCAATGCATTACAACATCAGTAAATATTATATAAAAACTCAGCAAGAAAAAAAGCACTAATCTAAAAAAATTTAAAACAATAAATTTGTTCTATTTAGAGCCCGCAAATGCTATTTCTTTAAAAGTTTTGACATTTTCAGCTGAAAAGTTAAATAACTTATTAAGTCTTACTGCAAACTCAACTTCAAGTAGTACATGTGCTTTGTCAACAAAAATATTGAGAAGCCTTTTATGTCAGATACTTTCGAAATTTTGATCAATTACTGATATTACGGAAAAGAGTCGTCCATAAATTATGCAACGCAAAAAAAATTTTAAAAACATAAGTCTCAGATTTTAAACTCTTTTACGCTGCGATTTTTATTAAACTGAAACGGGTATTATGATTTTATATTTAGATTAAGACCCTACAAGGGAAAACGTTTTTTGGTTTTGTTTATTGTGAAAGTTTTCATTGTTTAATTAATGG